TGTCTTTTTCTGCTCGGCCTCCAGTACCCCTCACGTCAACCGCAGTGGGGTGCAGTATTGGCCTACCGGCCTACTTGAGTGTTTTTACGCTACCCCAAGGGCCTCAAGGCCGCTAGCTTCGCCACTTGAGTGTTTTCCCTGCTACAACCCTCAATGCCACGGCCACAGGTAAGTACCGGCCCTACGGGCCTACCAAACAAGCAAGTACCCTTGCGGGTCCCACACACACTGACACCAACAAGCACTCAGACAGGCATGCAGGTCACAAGCACGCACACACACAGACCGACTTAGAAAACACAACAGAATGCGGGAATCTCATCAAGGCATCCATTCCATCGGCAGAACTTCAGAAATCAGCAGTGTTCTCAGTCTGTGTTATGACACGTCATTACATTACCCCCCCCTCAAGAGCGAGGTCCCTTCGAGCGAGTAACTCAATCAGAGTCCTTGCATGGTGCATCATAGGCGTAGATAGCAAAGAGAGATCGGGCGTGTTCCGTAGGAGTCAGGGTAGCAGTAAACTTTGGTTGTTGTTCAACACTTATCAATCGTTCATAGGCATTAACGACACGCGGTGCACTCTGCAGTAAGTCTTTCCTAGCAATCCAATAGAAATCGTCCAACGGATGGTGCAAAAAATAAACTTTGTACTGTCTGTTTCTTCCCTTCCTACTGTGTTCGACAATCCTATCAACCTCATGGTCGCCATTGATTGCGCGGGGAATCATTGACTCTCGGTACTTGAACGTTTCAGGTTGTTCATATGGAAACAATTTTGACGCATGAAAAACTGGGTATGTGCGCAAATGTGCAGGCACATCAATCGTGTAGGAAGGACCGAAGGAATCACTCCCTACCTGGTTCAAGACCTGCCACGGACCGTAGTACTGAGGAAGAAGCTTTCGTGAGACACCTTCTTCTTCAGAAAACTCAGACATTTTGACCCAGACATAACTCCCCACTGTGAATGGTGCAGGCTGGCGGTTCTTGTTAGCATGTTTAATCATGGCACTGCGTCGCCTCTCCATAGCTGCGACAACAACTTTGAGTAGGCGATCGAACTTGGCGTTGTAGCCTGGCTGGCCAGGTGTTAGCCTGGCACTGCGTCATTATTGCGGATTTTCCATCCAAGATGCAGCCGGTTAGGCGTCATCCCGGTGGAGGAGTGGATGGAGTTGTTATACAACCCCTGCACGATCGGCAACTCCTCATCCCAAGATTTCTGATCACGGTCTGGTTGATTTCCTCAGCCAGTCCGTTGGCTTCGGGGTGTCGCCCAGACGTCATCTTGAGTTTCATGTCATAGGTTTGGGAGGTGAAATCTTTCCAGTCTGCGCTTATGAACCCGGTGTCCCGATCACTCACGAGAGTTTTCGGGGGGCCATAATATAGCACATACCTTTTGTTGAACTCATCGATCACAAGGTCAGTTGGGGCGTGAGGTGGCAAGGGAATCAGATTTAGAAATTTCGAAAATCGATCAACGATCACCATCACTTGCGAATAACCGTTTCTGCTCTTCTTCCCCATGTCCGTGAAGTCGATGGAAACAGACTCACCCGGGCCATCAGGGATAGGAAGAGGGTGCGGCAGGCCATATGGCTTCTGCCGAGACGGTTTAATACGCTGACAAACTTCACACTCAGCCACAAACCTTTGTGCCATTCTTTTCATTCCAGGCCACACAAACCTTTCCAACAGATTCCCGTATGTCTTCTCAACACCAAAGTGTCCACTCCGGCC